TTTGCATAACAAACTGTAAAGCTTAGAAGTTACAAGACTATCAAAATTGTTTAAACCAATTTATACAGTATTAAATTAAAAATCCAGAGATAGGATAAATACTATTGGTTCTTCAATGCCATACAAGTATTAGATGGTTTTCTTGAGTCAACGTAACTACAGAACAAAAGACATCTACTCTCCATTGCCTTTTATTTACAGGTGAGAATTCACAAAGGTTTCAATTGCAGTTGTTGAGAGATTATTTCTGAAGACAAAAAAGGGCATTTATCACATCAGTGTGTAAAATCTGATGGACACTTGCAGGAAACGGGTTATTTCTAGTACTTCACCCACTTCTGCAATGTTAGATTCTACAAAACAAAAGGAAGTGTTTGGACCGCTATTTGGATTTTCAATCTACGCCAGTGACAAACACAGGACTACAAAATTGTGAACATTCCATTCCTTTCAATTTAATACACCTTTGGTAGCAATAGTTGTAAAAAATGTTATCTAATCTAAAGCATTATGTGGCTTCATGGCTCTTGTATTTCACACTTAGGAAGAGTTTGTGTGAGCTTACGTAAGAAGGAACAGTTGAAGGCCAATAAGCAGGAGAATTTCATCACTTACTTCATTTTCACTGGGAGACCTCAGCCAATTCATTTAAACCTCTCAAGGGGCAGAGGAATGAGAAAAGCAATGTGTAAGAGAAAAACCATCCAGCTGTTTAATAGTTGTATGGCATTTTAAATTCTCAGATTAAGCAGCTAAGCGTCTTTCACAACACCCACCAAGGCAGGCCGCAGCGTACGCCCGTGCAGCTTATAGCCAATCTTGGATACTAATGCAATAGTGCCAGGCTCCTTCCCCTCCATGGGAGTGTGGAACAATGCTTCGTGTTCGTAGGGATCGAACTTGGCTCCGACAGGGTCCAGTCTGAGCAGGCCATGTTTTTTAAACACCTTTTGAATCTGTACTTCTGTCATAACAAGACCTTCGTATAAGCTCTTCAAGTGAGGATTTTCATCCTTAATTTCTTCTTTTGGAACACTTTCTGTTGCTTTCTCCAAAATATCTGCAACTTCTAGTAAGTCCTTACAGAAGCTCTGAATCCCTAAAAACAAATAAAAGAGAAGGGAATGAGATTAGTCCACTGAGGGAAACCAGCATAAAAAACCAAACCAAACCAAAACGCAGCCCCAAACTATACAGCAATAATCTGGACTCTTAGATTTTTAACAAGGTATGTGATATTGTAAACTTCCCAGTTTTACTTGATGATCTAACACTGTTACAGATACCTTCAAATCCATACCACCTCCTCTACTTCTATGGAAAAAATGCATTTCAACTTAGTACTTAAAAGAGCTAAAGTTACACTGATGACCTGACATTAACAGTTAAAATTCCAACCAAAGTTACCAAAACCTTCAAATGGCTTAATGGCATTTCCTCATGTCTTTCTCTTCCTGGGATTCACCTAAGTTCAAAGCATTATGTTGCCCCATTCCGACTCTTTCATCTGATATGCTAAAAATATTTGCAGAACTTAACAATCATGTAATTATCTGAAATTTACTTTTCACGAGAAATTTTATTTGATATTTATTTCTATTGTAGCATCTCTGAGCTCAGACATGACTCAAAGTCCTTCTACACTAAGTAGCATATCAGTGAAACAATGCTTATTGAAAATCAACTTCAGGGTGATGCATTCAAACATCCATGAAACAGTACAAGAATACTACGTAACTGAGAAATGCTTTTTCTTACAGTACACATTAACTGAAGACCTTACATTCAGAAATGAAAACTTCTGTATTCAGGATTAACTATACAGCTGTGGCAAAAAAGCCAACGCATTTTTCAAGCCAGAGTGACAGTCAGACACTAAGAAGATACAGCACTCTTCTGCTGCAGTACTTGCATACCATTTCTGTTTTACAGAGCCGTGTTTGAACTGTCAAGAAGCTAAATCAGAAGTCAGTAGCCTGGCACTTGAAGAAAGATCTGTTTCTAGCAGCCCTTATAGCCAGTGATTGTACATTCCTACACTGAAAAGAATCCATCCATCCAAATGTATTACTTCTATTCGAAAGCTATGGCCTTCAAACAGAACAGAAAAGTTATTCAAATATGAAAAGAACAGAAATCAAAACTAAAATAAGAACTCCCCAAAAAAAACCAAACAACAAAAAACCACAAACCAGAAGCAAAGCTGGCATGCCATGCTCTTGGTTAATTTTTTGCAGTCAGTTTTGAGACCAATGTATGTGAAAAAGGCAAACTTCAGGCTGCAAATCTTACTGAAAAATCTACCAGTGTAGTACATACTGTAGAAAATCAGATACCAAATATAAAGAAATTTCCAAGTTGTTGACTTTAGCTGTTTAAGTCTTGCCCTTGTCTAGCAAAACGATTACAATTCTGATGCAAAGTGAGGAACCATTCAAATATATTTTTAACCAAGTGGTCAGAATCACTGCAAAGTACAGCCTGTCAAAACTGTGGGCCAGTCAGCTCCATTTCCAGGCTTTGCACTTCATGTCAGTGTTCCTGTGTCTGAGGAGTATATACAAAAGGAGCCTCCACTGACCGTATAACTTTGCCTCTTCTACCAGTTTCTGGCTTCTTTGCCTCACGTTTTCTGCATCTGCCAAGGCACGCTTGTATTTGTCCTAAAGAAGAAAAAAACAGTTACAGAAGATATTTCATTCTTGGGGGCTGGGACAACAGTTCAGGAGAGCACATTCGGTATAAGACGGCATTTTAGACAGTGGCGTAGCCTAAACCCACCACCTAAAGAGTAATCTGAGGATAAGATGCCACTTCTCACAGCATCCTTCCTACCAAGGCAGACGTCTGCATCACTTCAGTGCAGACAGAAGTGAGGGAAAGGAAGTGAAGATGTTTCCAGACTCTCAGTATTTGTCAATATTAGAAAAAAAATTTGAACTCTACAGATATATCAAGTTTTATGTATCACAGATTTCTGCTTCCTCTGATGTGTGTTCACAGAAAGCCTTCATCATAAGGTATTTTGACACCATGGCAAACGAGATTCAAACCCACACCTGACTTTCAAATCATCTCTTCACTCTCCAGACATACCACAGTGCCCTCTATCTTTTTCAAGGTTTACAAACTACGAAGTCTAACACTCTCTCAAAGAGAGACTCTCAAAGTCTCAAATGGTCTCGAAAGACAATTTATACAAGGCACTCATTCAGAAAAGGCAACACCTTTGTTTAATGCAGACCTCACACCTCTCAGGGCATTCTTTACCCTCTGCTGAAGTCACGAACAGGGGAGAATGCAAGATACATTTGGCCAGACAGAGAGGACGTGATGCTTCTGCCTTGTGTTTGAAGGCCTCTCCAACAGAGGTTTGAAACGCCCACTTCCTAAGCATGTAATAAGTACACCATGACATAAAAGCTAAATTTCATTAACCCCAACCTTTGGAAAAGTCAGCAGCTGTTTTCAGAAAGTGCACACAAAACCACAATCAAATCAAAGACACGCTCAAACCTTCCAACGGGCCTCCGAAAATTTCTTAACTGAGCAAAACCTAAATTAACTGCAGTCAGTGAAACTAAGTAACAAATTTTCAGGCTGGAAGAGGTCCTATTCCATCCGGAAATTGGAATTAAACTATCAAAAATCTTAATTTCTGACCAGGGTGCATCTTAGGATCTCGTCGTACATCTACTCTTAAGTTTAAAGCAAATGTCAAATTGCAGTTTTTTAATTCAACAACTAAACAGCAGTGACACAACTGTATCCCGATTGTGCACTGACAACTCGTGATGAATACTCTTAACTATGCAGTTTCCAAGGTATGCAACCTGATGACCAAAAGACACTTACAGTAACATCTTTTAGCTGCTCCTCCAGTTTGGCCTTTTCTTCAGGTAGCCTTTTTTCAGCAGAGCTGGGTTCAACCTTCTGCTCATTTTGGCTCTGACTCTGGTCCTCTTCCAAGTTCTGGCCATTTTTCTGTTGTGTCGCCACACAAAGCAGTCGTGGAGAAGTCCTATGGCAAAAACATGTGGACAGTATTAATCAGTTGCTTACTTTGAAAGATGTTTGCGTTTTCTGGACATACTGGACACTTTATCTGACATGTCAACGTTTACAAAATTCTCACATGAAAGCACAAATCAGTACCACAGTTCTAGGTCTATGAAAACTGTCTGCAGAACCTTTCATCAGAAGTAACTGAACTCAGCCCATCTAACCCATTGCAAAAAATAACTTCACTGCAAGACAACAACCACTGGGCAGCAGCTTGTAAGTGTCTGTTACATACAGTTTATAAAGTCGCAGCAGTTTTAAGTAGAATGTGAGCTGTTTTTCAGCACAGCGCTCTATCAGGAAGCAACTCCAGTTTACGTGATGCAATCACCTGCAACAGTCCCCCAGCAAACACAGCAAGAATAATAGTGGTTTGCTGCCGACTGCTCACAACAGAAAAGCGCCTTCTGTGTCACTGCTGTATCTCATTGCTATATCGCAAATACCACGCCAAGAACGGGCCAGTCCACATGAAGATGGCTTTTAACCCCTTCCTAACATTTCTTAGGCTGAACGAGCTGAACTCCCTCCGCAAACCGCTTCACAGACAAGGCAAGTGGACCTGTGCTGCAATGAAAGAAAGGCCTTGGATCCCTGCACGCCACACCACGACCTCAGGCCCGGAGCCCTTTAGATTCAAGGCCGGGCCAGGAGGGCCCCGCAACGCCTGGCCGGGCCACTATCCCGGGGGAGGAGAAGGGAAGCCAGCAAAGGGAGACGTGGGATGAGGGCCGGCAACAGCCCGTCCCGGCTGTAGGAGAGGGCTCCCGGCGCAGAGCTGGAGGGCCGGGGCTCGGGAGGTG